TCTCTGTCTTTGGGTGGGCGAAAGTTTTTTATGGCGCCACGTAACTCAAGCAGGAAGAAAGGGGGAGTGAATGGGATGCCTGTGTGCCTGTGTGTGAGTGTGTAAAAAACTACTAAAGCAACCCACGTGAAAGTTATAACTTGGCATTAAATGCGGAAAACGGAACGTGGATAGCAGGGTGCAAGCACACACGCACACTAGCACACACACACACACACACGCTCCCCCGCCCATAGATACACACATTTGCAGCAATAAAATGCAGTTGACTGCAACGAAAGGAGGGCCGCACTGAGTGGGCTGAGTGTGGGCGTGTGAAGATGCTATCCCTCTGCAGTAACAACAATGATGATGATGATGACGATGATGATCAGGGGCAATGTGTTGCACATTTTGGTGGCAAAGTTGCGCAAATGTGTGAAAATTGTACAACGTACAAACAAACACACACACGCACACACACACACTGTTGCACAAACAAGAAGCGGTGCGGAGCGGTGCGGAGCGGAGCGGAGAAAATGGAAACATGGGAAACCGGAGGAAGCCGGAATCCGGAACCCGGAGGAACCTTACAGGACGAGTGTAAAATGCAATTGAAAAATGCCACAGTTTTGCATAAATCAGCAGGAAAGCGCCGAAAATGGCGCACAAACAAGCAACAGCAGCAGCAGGAGCAGCGGCAGCGGCAGCGGCAGCAACCGGATCCGGATCCGGGCCAGGGCACAGGGCACCAATAACAACATGCAGGAAGACGAGCAGCAGGAGGAGCAGCAGCAGCAGGAGGCCAGGAGGCAAGGAGCAAACAAACAGGACCGCAGGCAACCCGTAAACATGGCCCACATATCTGAGGGGCATGCCAAAAGAGAGAGAGAAAGAGAGAGAGAGAGTGAAGCAAAGAGCGTGCCATGCAGCCGCAGATATAATTTACTGATAATGCAATTGCCGTTTGTGCAGCGCCGCCACCGCCACCTGCTGCAATCCCTGTGCCGTCCCACTGTCCCACTGTCCTTCTGTCCAGCTGCTGTTGATGTTACTGCTGCCTGCTGCCATTGCTGTTGATGTTGCATTCCAGGCTAAGCCAACAACAACAGCAGCAGCAGCAGCAGCAGCAGCAACAGCAGCAACAGCAACAGCAGCAACAGCTACTTCCTGGAGTCCGGAAAAGCGCTGAAATGTGCAGAAAAAAATTGAGCAATAACGATTACGAGTATGCACTCAGCAGAACGAAGGTGGAATGCCCTTTTCCAAGGGGAGGGAAAGCTCACGAGGAAGGAAACCACATTAGCCTTGATTTTATATGGGAAGCAGAGACAGAAACTGGAGCGGATAGCGCTTATTGCTTCAAATTATGCGTAGCAGTTCCCCCAGTTCCTTCCATTAAATTGTTCCTTTTAGCTTTAATTCTTACTGAGTTCTTTTAGCCTCACGAACGAGCTTACAGGCTCTTTAGTCCTGGGTGTAAAAATATGCAAAAAACCCTTTCTAGCAATTGCTTTTTGTGGAGAAAGCTAATCGGAAAAAATCAGAGAGTCTTAATTAAAGATTAAGTTCTACTTAAGCACTCAGACTTTCCGCAGAGGTAAACTACCCTCACGATCGTGGAAGAGATTCCACCATTAGCCGCCAGCCATTCATTACAGTGATGTCTGGTTAAATGAAACGAGCTAGTTATTGCCCGGCGAAGGGCAGCCTGTCAAATATAGCGAACGTGGCGCAAACTGCATAAATATTGCAATGCCATGACTCGACGATGTCAGCGATGCCAGCGATGCCAGCGATGCCTTGGTCATGCTGCAGTTGACATTTTCGTCGCTTTTTTTTTTTTGCTGTTGCACTCTCCAGCCGCTCCCCTGCTTTGCGCACTTTCGACAACCATGAAACTAGAAGTAAAGTAAAGTGAAGTGAAGTGGTGCGGAGTGGAGTGGAGTGAAGTGGTGTGTATAGAAAACAGTTCAGTCAGCGAGTCGAGTCGAGTCTGACCGTGGTTGGGCTTTGCAACGCATACAAATTGCATTTGCTTCCGTTGCGGGATTCCAAATTAAAGCTCTCTCCCTCTCTCTCTCTCTCTTACCCTCGGAATTAAACTTAAAGCAGAGTTTGTACGATTGCCCCAGAGGAATGAGCGAAAAAAGAGCAATCGCTGAACTTTGAAATTAAGGGAAAAAAAATAACAAGAAGAAAAAAAAACCACAAGAACAACAAAAGGCATGACTTTCCATTAGAGTGAAGTGAAGCAAACGAAGCCAGAGAAAAAGTGTCGTTTGATTTTCAGCGATTCCCTCTTCATACGAAGGAAATTGGCAAAACAAAGCGCGTTTCGTCTGTTATTTTTTGTCTGCGCCAATTGTTTTTTTTATACCCTTTAGCAGTGGTGGAGAGAGATAGAGAGTATAGGACAATTAGTTCAATGAGAGGCACAGAAGAAGGCAAGTAAGCTGAAAGCATTCAACAGCCGAGAATACGAGAATATCATATCCAACTAGAAGCTTCTTGTATGCTGTGGAAAACCCAGAAATTTTCACACTATTCTGTACGAATTTTCTAGCAACCATCTGTCGAAATTTAGGCCTTGTCAGTGTGCCTATCCTCATGTAAATACGGCAGCAGCTTTATCTTATTAAAATCACAATTTTACAGGATATCCAACCCCTCGACTCTCAATGAAGTTCCCTAATTCTGGTTGTTTTCGCGTATTGTTTTTGTTTGTTTAACAATTGAATGACTCTGAAAGTTTCTATACGCGACCATGTACCATGTATAGTATAGGTCGTTACGCGTACTATTCCCTACTATTGTATATCATGTCATGTTGCCTTCAACTTTAAGCCCTACTCGTGCCTAATTAACTCAATTCCAGCTTCCCAGCTTCCCAGCTTCCCAGCTTTGGAAATTCTTCATTAGCTGGAAGTCAAACTTTACGATATGCGATTATTTCAGTCCAGTGCCTTGGCTGCTGTGCTGCCACCGCCTGCCTTTTGGCCTTTCAGCCTTTCAGCCTGCCAGCCAGTCGGATGCCTTTATGAAAGCAGGCTGGCCTGCCGCTGCCTGACGAGGTGAGTGTTTGTTTTATGAGAGAAAATAATGGGTACTGTACTCCCCCATGCGGCACATAGCGCCACCACTTCAGCTGCCCCCTCCCCACACACACCAGCACCACTGAGCATAATTGTTTTAGCCCGAGTTGGCAGCAAGTTTTAAAGGTGTGGTTGGCATTCATACAGCTACCATGCAAAAATGTAGACCAGTGGGGTATACTGTCTAAGGTACAAAGAAGAAAGAACCACGTATTTAGCTACTATAATATTACTGTTCAGATTTGATTGATAGTATATCCACGAACAGGAATATTCATTGCATATAATGAGAAGAAAAAAAAAATTTGAATTTTGGAACCAGATCGAGGGAGATTTAAGCTCGCGAAGGTATGATATTTGTCTATCTAGGCAATCTTATTTATCACTGATATATTTTAGCTATAAAAAGTTTCGGCTTTGAAAATCCTTTTTATTCAATCCTTTTGGTATTACGCCTACAATTATCATACTCCATTACGATTTGTAATTCATTTTGTAAATATTTCATTCAAAATTGAATCATTGGAGTTTTTATGTTTTTCTTATAGCGTGTACAAACTTTTAGGTCTCTATTTCTGGGGATTACTATTACTATTTCATAAAAAAAATAAGTTTCTTTACCTATATATATTTTAAAAATGTATTCAGACATCAATTAGAGGTCCCAGTTGTTAGAACTCATTAAAATCATATTAATTTGAGTATTAATTAATAAAAAAAAAAATTATTAATTAATTTAATAAATAAAATATGTACAATTAATCGGATTAGTGGGAATCCTCACAGTCTAACATATAGATAGAGGAATATGCTTTCAACCTATTTTGGATACCGCCCAAAGATGCCATGCACACGCACACCTTGCTTCACCTGTCCTGTGTAACATACACCCCCCCTCCGCCACTCATACTCAATGCATAGTCAGGGGCAGGGCGAGTTATGACACTCTACATAGTTCGGAACAGATAACTATTTCCCAGAGTCTGGAGAGACTCGGAACTAACTATAATCTTGGCATTTCCACTACAAATACACAAACAAACAAACAAACACACACAGACACACGGACACAAAACATTTTCTTTAGCTTTCGCACGGAAAATGCATACTTTTGTGGCTGTACAAGGGTATACACATACATACACATACATATATAGTATATTTTTGCTTCAGTTGTTGTTATTGTTTAATTTGCGCAAAATGTTGTCTGTTTTCTTGGGCGGTGCTCCTGGGGGTGGGGTGTTGGTTGTGTGGTGTGGGCCATTGTTGTTTTTGGACGGGAATTTGCATTCAAAATTTTGCATTGTACTAATGTTTGTTGTGTTGGCTTTCACATTTCCATTACACTAATTCATGTATTTTATTACACTTCCTTGCTTGCTTGGTTGCCTGCTTGAATTTGCTTTTGCCTTGCTTTGCCTTGCCTTGCCTTGCCTTGCCTTGGATTTGCAAAAGGCTTTAAAACATTTTGTGGCAATGGAAATAATTTATGCAGGCAGCCTCACTGTTTAATTGCCACACAATATGCATACATACATACATATATATCTATGTATATATATGAGAGCTGCAACAGTTGCAAAGTCGTCGCTGGGGCTTGCATATCTTCCAGCTGAGTAATATGATTATTAGTTCCACTCTAAGGCACAAACACAGACGCATTATAAATCTCACCCCCTAGCTAAATCCAACTCTCTGCCACCCACCCACTCTCCCTCCATCATCATCATCAGTCCTTGCAGTTCTGAGACCTGACTCACCGACCACTAAATTAATGCCAATCCACAAGCAGCTCGTCTTCTTCCACACCAACCAACCAGCCAACCAACCAACCGCCTGACTGACAATAATTATGAAGCGGAAAAATATAATTTTTATGAGGGTTCCCCTTAAAATACACTTACGTCATTAGCCGTATAATAAATCCCTAATTATATTGCATATTTTGTAGCATTTAATGGCTTGGGGGAAAACTTTATACAATGTGGATTTGTTCTGCTCAACTTTTGACTCGAATAAGGTACGAAATTAAATATAATTGCAGCTAATTAAGTGAAGTTTTTCTGTATGTAAGAGATCGTTCAACTTAAGTTGAATTTTTTGTTTAAATTCAGTTTAAAATTTACAAAAAATATATAGCCTGTAGATCCTTTTGCTTATACAAAGAGCTATTCTCTTTGGGAGAGAGTAGAACTGCTGCCAATGATTCATTCAAATGTCAATTACATGAACTTAAATCCAGGCCACGGGATCAAGGCAGTGGCAGTGGCAGTAGCAGTAGCAGCAGCCAACACAGAGGGAAGGAGGCACGAGCCTATTGTGGCATACAGTTGACAAATTCAATTAAATAAATCTGTGAAATTCAAGGAGGAATTACTAAGCTCCCAGCTTGATATTTGGCTCAAAGTGAAAATTACGAAACACGCAAATATTTGCTTAAATTAAACTCGTGCCAGATTCTGTTGAATGTTGTTGATGTGTATGCGGATGTGTACAGATAAATGTATGTATGTGCTGCTGCGTTTGTTTAACTAACATTGTATCTCGCCGAGAGCCTTCCTGCAGCTGCCTGCCTTGGCTACTGTTTTATCCATAAGGTGACGCAATTGCCTCAGCTTCTCCTGGCGCTCTTGTATCTCCACCATGGAAGGATACAGAGGCAACTGCAGGGACCTGGGGTAGCTGCCTTTGAACACCAGCGAGTACTCAAAGTTCCGCATGTGCACGTTGTAGGCTTCGATGCTGTCCATTAGGTGCTTGCGCGTACGCTGCCATCGCAGCTTGGCTATGCTCAGACGCTCGGCAATATCCTGTTGCCGACGTCGGTACACCTGCAGTTCGTCGCAGCGTTCGACTTGCAGGTCAAGCAATCTCGCATACTTCTGGTAGCTGCACCTTTGGCTCCTCACACGCTGCTGCAGTGAGTGCAGCATTTGCTTCTTTCGCCAGGTGTCAGTGCACAAATGACTGAACCTGCGCTCATAGTCCGAGGACTCGTCCAATAATGACTTCAGCTTATCCTGGCAGTTGGTTAGCTCCTGCTGAAGGCTGTGCCTTTGTTCCAACTGCTGCTGTTGCTGCTGCTCCTTAACATTGCTCAACTCCAGCTGCTTGGGCTCCAGTTGCAGGGCTTCCAACTCCTGCTGCAGTGCCACGATATCATCGGAATTGCAGCATTCCTTTAGTAGTTCATTACGCTTTTGTTGCTCTAATTGAAGACTTTTTTCCGCTCCTTGCCACAGTTGGTAATCCCTTGCCATCAGCACAAAGGTTTTCTCATCCAGTGACGAGTCCCCCACAAAGGGAAAATCACAAATCGATACGCCCCGTTTTGTGGCGACGACTGCAAAATCCAGTAGAAAGTCCAGCAAGTCCAGTACATGAGCGATGACATGCTGTGTTCCCGGCATCAACAGCCAGCTCCTGTTCACCTTCTTGGGATACTTGAGCTGCTGCAGAGCATCCATCAGCGGCTCCGCATAGCAGACGTTGCTCATCGACCCCGCCGCTACCCCAGAGTGGGGCAACAAATGCCTCACAATGCTCACAAAGTCCGCAATAGTCATCTGGCGCAGCCGTTGCTTCGTGCTGCTGCCCCAACCCTCTAGCTCCTGCTGTAGATAGGCTGCGAGCCTTTCCAATTTCGGCCCCATCGACTCCTTGCCCTGCACGTGCCGGAACTCCAGCCGTCGCTTTGTTATGCCTAACTTGGTTATGTGGGGTGTTTCCCTCTCTGCTCTCGATGCAGATGCGGATGTGTGGGGGAACAGCTGCTGCTGCTGTTGCTGTTTGGGATACGAGAAACCAATGGAGGGCACCAACAGCCTGTTTGTGTTGATGCCTGGTATTGGGGATTTGTGATTTTGGCGACCTATTCTCGTTGCGGAAGCTGGCCGACGACTGCTCCTGCTCTCCCTCTCATCCATCCTTCGCCATCGCTCCAGCAGCTCCTTGGTGCGCACTGGCTCTGAGCAGGGTATGAATGCGATTCTGGGACAGCTATGGGTGTAAACCATTTTTGGGCATCAAACTTTTGCTTTGTCTTTCCCACATTGTTGAAACATTTTACATACCGCATCTCTGGTGTTTTGGTCGTGTCTTCACTGTCTGTCATGTTTCCGCATGCGGGGGCCGATGGTGTACGGACTGCTCTGGATGCAGATCCAGATGCAGATGAGACCTGACGCTGTCTCTCCAGCAATTCCTTGGTGCGCAGCGGAAGCGGTTCCAAAAATATGGCAGTGCTGGTGCTGAAATTTCGAATCCACAAAATGTTACATTGATCTTCACGTACGCGAAGTATTTACGAACCGCATCTCGGGAGTTTTTTGTTGGTCCGCTTTGGATGCGGATTCTGTGCGGCTCCCCTGACGCTGTCTTTCCAGTAGTTCCTTGGTACGCAGCGGACGCGGTTCGGAAGTCAGTGCAAACCTGCCAAACCTGTAATCTCGCAAATAATACATTTATTTCCATGTAATCCAACTGTTACCCACCGCTTATCTGGTGTTCTGGGTATATCCAACAAATCTGGAGTTCTTTTGGGCATCTCCATCCTGATTTTGGGTGTTTTTTTTCTCTTATTTTCAGTGTTTTTTCTATATTTTCAATCTGTAGCGCACAAACGATCAACAGCTAGAGATGGAGCAACCGCGATGGAAATATCGAAAACACCTATGTCCGAAAATATCGATACAAACAATGGCAAAATACTATATTACCTACTATCGAATGATCTCGATAACAATACACATACTCGACGTTAAATTCAAATGTTGGACTTAAATAGATGCACACACACACATGATGAGAGGCATTTAAACAAAGAGAGCCATCACTCCACACACAAAACGAAATAAAATATGCGCTGCCATGCTATGCAGGCAATCAAACAATGGCACATCCATGGAATTTGGGGTCTGGTTAACTGCATTTTCAACCAATTATGTGCCGCCGCCACTTCGCTTAACTTTTATGAACCTTTAAAAATTGTATCCGTTGGCAAAGGCAACGCGAAACGCCAGGCAGCCAGGACAGGACAGGCCACACTACAAATGCATAAATCATGAATGAAAGTGAAAATTGGTTGCACCTACCAGGTGCTCCCAGGTGTAAAGGCCACACACCTACACCTACACCTACACACACACACTGTCCTCGCACGCTGAGAGGTGCCACCATGCTGGCACCATGGATGGCATGGCTCTTGCGCTTTTTGGGGGGCATAATTACAAAACAATACAAGCGACGGGGGTGCCCAGGCGGTGAGAGAGCCCTGCAGCATCCATCCTGGAGCCGCACACCCACCCCCACCCCATGCCTGCCGTGCCCAGCGGCAAGCAACAAGCAACATCAACAACAAAAACAGGAGGCAGAAGGCAGAAGGTGTTCCCGTGTTGGTTTGGGGCGTGGTTGACTTTTTATCTGTTTGTGTTTGTTGTTGTTTTGACTGCTGCGTTTTTGCAATTTAACCGCAATAAATAATGGAGAAGCTTGTTAAATTTCGCCGCCGCCGCCCCCCACACACACAAAACTCGGTGGGAAAAATGTAGGTTAGGCCACGCCCATTTGTAACTATAACGATGATGTTATCACTGGCTCGGGTCTCCATCGCCTCTCCACTCCACTTCATTTGTGGTCGGATGCTGCAACCGATTTGGTGGCTGGGCTGGTCTGCTGCTCTCTGGCATGGAAATTCCAGTGTTTTTCCGCGCATATTTAGTTATACAAAAATGCAATGCAATGCAACCAAAAATGCGCTAAAAATAATTACATTTATTTGCCGCATCAGCAGATTTGAGAGGCCTGACTAAGCATACAAATGTCGATGGCTGGGACATACATCCCTCCCAGGAGGCAGGACATTGCAACACCTTCTCTTCCGTCTCGTATATCACTAAATAATTTTGCATTTATTTTATATAATACAGTACACATTGCATTAAACTAAATAAAATCTATTTAATATATAATATATATCATATATATTATTATATATATATCTATATATAATATGTAATCCGTACCACAATTAACTCTTTTACAACACATTTCCATTCGCTTCCACTACCGATTGCTCACGCTCACATATACGACGAGTATAATCATAATCAGTAACCCCTTCCAAGAGGATATTCTCTATATATATACTATTATTATTATTATATATACGTGTACGCATCATCGCCTGCCATTTGATCCGTTTCGCGTCCTCTCCTCTCCTCCTTTTCTTTCACTACTTTATTAGCTTTTTGTTAACAACAATTATTGCTATTTGAATTTATTATTATTGATTTGTTAAGTGTATTTTGTTTGCCTGTGTGTTAAAAATCCTAAACATATTTGTTTGCGGTGTGTTTCTTCTTCGGTGTTCCTCTCTCTCTGTCTGTTTATTTGTTTGTTTGTTTGTGTGGGTGATATATATATTTAAAATATAGTTCTATATATATTTATATAGTATTTGTGGTGTGGTTAAACATTTGAACATGTTAAAAACAGTTTTGCCTTGGCGGCTAGTAAACCCAAAGAATTTCCCCCGCATCCTCTAACAATTGTTGCCATTTTTTTCTCGTGTCAAACTATTTACATTAAAATTATGGGGACGGGGCAGCAGTAAGGGCGGGGCAAGGGGACCAGGGCTCGTTGTACAATTGAACTAGAAGCAAGGTGGTGGCGAGGGGGATCAGTAGCAAGTGTGATAAGGGGGGGCTTGGGTTGTTGCAATCTTATGGCAAAATACTCAACACTTTCGGGGGTGCGATTGCAGGCGGTGTGGGCGGGTGTAAACAATTATAGATTATAGATTACAGATCTTTTTAGGTGGTAGGCGAACATAGGAATTATATAGACACGACACCACACGACACGACATACATACATAAATACTTCTGCTGCTGTGTGTGTGTGTGTGTGTGTGTGTAATACATATACATATACATTCATACATACGTAAACGTAAACGTAATAATAATAACAGTAACTATATCAACGCAACATTTGGACGTTCGTTCGGTTCACAAGGATATAGGGTGAGGGGGGGTGTGTGCATGTATGTATGTATGGGGGGATGGTGGTGGGGATGGATGGATGGGACAGGCGCTCAATTGGAATTAAACATTAATCAACAAACCGACCACAAATCAACTGCCACTCATTCCTGGCAGAAGCCCTCAGTCTCCTCAATGGCAAAGGTCAACTTCTCCACCAGCTGGTCATAGCTTTTGTACGGCGGCAAATCCAATCGATTGAAGCACGTATGCGAGCGCGGCAGCCACGTCTCCTTGCCCACCTTCTCAATGCAGAAGCGTTGCGGCCCATTGGAGCCCATCAGCTCGGCAAAGCCACCCACGGGGACACGACACGTCCCCGTCACAAACTGCAGCAGACGGGCGCGCTTCTCGTTGTCCGTTTCACGTACAAACTACATATATGGATAGGGATAGGGGATTGGATTAATGGGGAGTAGAATGAGTAACCTTTTGAGCACTCCACTCACCTGCCAGAACCAGACGACCTGCTTGGAGTTGCGATTGTAGTGCCTGTAGATGGTATTGCGCTGCCAGTCCTCCACATCCACATCCTGCATGCCGCACAAGATCAGCTCCAGTTCGCGCTCATCAAAGTACTTGAGCCACTCCAAGGGCACAACCTCATTGAAGCCCTCCAAGAAGGTTTTAGTCTGCTGCTCAATGCCACTGCGGAGGGAGCAGAAATAAAACACAATTAAAATAAGCATAAAGATGAATCGTTTTCGGCTGTTTTCTTACCGTGTCATTCGCCATTCCGTCATAAGCGTTATGTACTCCTCCTTGTTCTCCTCGTTCACGCGCTCCTTTTCGCCATTCTCCTTGAGCTCGTGATGGATTATCTGGCCCAGGACTTCGAAGTCCACGCTGAACCACAGCTCCAGGCCACACTCATCGATATTGTTGTCCTTGACCCAGATGAGCGAATTGTAGAACTCCGGATCGATCGTCTCGATGTCCTTGATGGTCAGCTTCTTGTTGAGCATCCGCTTGTAGAAGGGCATCGTGAAGCCGCTGTAGATGAAGCGCCCGTGGTACAGGGCCATGGCAATGAAGCGTCCAATGAACTTGAAGTACTGCAGATGGTCGGGATTCACATAGGAGGCGGGATTGATCTGCAGACTGTAGTTATTCTTGTTGGCATACTCGAACAGGCAATACATGGGATTGAGCACCTCGTGCGACAGCAGGAAGAACCACTCCCTGGAGACGCCGCCATAGTCGAGTCCCTCCTCGCCCCGGAAGATTATGTACAGGCGGCGGCGCAGCTCGTAGGCGGGCAGACGCATTATCTGATGGTACGAATCCTCGAAGAGCGTCTGTCGGGTCACAGTTATCTTGATATGCGACGGCAGGGCGTTGCTCTGGCACAGGTATCGAAATTGCGACAACTTCCAGCGGAAGCTGCGCTCATAGGCACGCGGAACGCCATACACGCCCTTTGCGCCCTTGGGCGCACCCGGACGCGGATCCTCGAAGGTGGTTCGCCTCGTATTGTGATCCACAAAGAAGCGCTCGCCCGCCGCCGTGTAGCGTATCTCCCAGCCGGGCGGCAGGGGGCCCTCGTTGATGAGGCTCACCTCCTGGCCCTGGGTGCGTGGATCCTCCCACTGGGTGGTGCGATTCTTGTGGTTCACAAAGTACACACGATTGTCCGATTGCACCTTCTTCTCCCAGCCATCGGGCAGCACACCCAACGCATCCTCATCGTCCTGCGTCACCGTGGCGGTCACCGCCGTCGGCTGCTGCTGCTGCGAGTACAGATACCGCTGATTGCCCTGCGACACCACGTGGGCCCGCTGTCCCTGCCAGTGCTGGAAGTGCATCAGTCGCTCGCTGTTCGGCCGCTGCCAGGTGGTCTTCCTTGTGTTGTGATCCACATAGTAGACGCGTCCCCGTCCATCCTTGCGTATCTCCCAGCCGGGCGGCAGCGGTGTGGGCTTCTCCCAGTATGTAGAGCGCGTATTGTGATCCACGTAGTAGCGACGCCCGTACTGATCCAAGCGTATCTCCCAGCCAGCGGGCAGCGGTTCATCGTCCGCCGGCTGTGGCTGCAGCTGCGGATCTGTGCTCTGGCTGACGGGAAGTCCAATGCCCGCCTGCTGCTGTTGCTGTGTATCCATGGGTACTCCCGGGCCCGCTGGCATGTACACACCAGCTGGCTGTGGCTGTGGTGGATTCTCTGGCATCACTCCATTGGCATAGACCTGCGTCATGGGCCGTGGTGGCGGCGCCACAACGGGTGCTGGCGGCTGTTGTGGATACGGTGCTGTTTGCGGCACAGCCGCTGCTCCTCCTCCGCCGCCACCATTGACCATCCTCAGGGGTTGTGGTTGCTGCTGCTGCTGCTGTTGTGGCGCCTGTTGCTCCCACACGGGTGGCCCTAGTATGGCCGCTCTAGTATCCACACCATTCGGACCCGGACCCAGGGAACGATTGGCCAGTGGCTCCGGATTGCTATTGCTATTGCTCGAACGCAGCCGCATTCGGGCCCTCACTCCGCCGTAGATCATGCAGCTACGGCCAGCGGCGGCTGGATCGCTTAGGGCTGGATTCACCGCCTGGACGGCATTGCCATTCTGTTGCAACTGCAGCTTGCTCATGTCCAGCTTCAGGCCGTTCAGTATGGCCACAAGTTCGCCGCTTTTGGTCTGTCGATTGTCCGACTTGGAGGTGACAAACAGATCGATGGTCAGCTCCAGGAACTCGCAGCGTCCGTTGTAGTGCTGCAGTATGTGGGCCAGATTGATGATGCGCTCCCCCAGCATGGCATCCTTGCGGAAACTCGAATGATCCAGCACCTTAAAGTGCAGCGTGGAATTGGGCGTAATCTGCCAAAGGGGGGAGGGAGGGAGTGAAAGTGGTTAAGAGTGTTGCCCCAAAGGAGTTTAATTTCTGTTTTGACTCACCAGCACTGTAAACTCTTCGTTCCATTTGGGCAGATAGCTATTCTTGACTTGGTCCGTCTTGCGCTTACTTTTGCTATCGATCAGCAGCTCCACATAGGGATTTGGCTTGAGGAAGCCATTGTTGCGCAGTGATGCCTCCTCGACTGCAAAGAAATTTTGGGGGTTTAATTGGGGGTTTTCCGATTGAACTGTTTCCTTGGGCCACTCACTTGTCACGCTTAATTGATGATATCCTTGATTGACAGCACTAAGGCCGCCACTGCCATTGCCACCACCGCCACTGCTGCTGCTTAAGCTGCTGTTGCTGGCACTGCTGTTGCCACTGCCACTTGCCACACCCACACCTGCACCCTGCACACCTACACCCACTGGATTGCCCACATTGGCTGTGGCCACGCCGCCGCAATTCAATGTTTGTCCGCCCTCAATGATGCCACCTGCACCGGAAGCTGCACCTGCTGGCAGCCCATTTCCATCGGCCATTTGTGTTGCTTTTTATGCGTGTGTGTGTTTTGTCGTCTCCTTCCGACTGGACGCTCCTTCTGGGCGCTGCAAAAACAGAAAGAAACACGCAGAAGATGTGAATTTCGTACATGGAAAAAAAAGCACCCAAATTGATAAGAACTGATAAGATTGTGGGGTGAGGTGAATGGTTGGTGTGCCGCCACAATGGAAGTTCAAGGTGCTAAATATATGTATAATTAAATAGTGAATTTCCAGGAACCAAACTGACTTCCGTTGCAACAAAGTTTCCACGCCGATTCCACAGAGGATTATTTTGTGGCTGATTTACTCTTTAGATCACGTAAAGGCTTTAATCTTTTTGGCAGCTTTCGCGATAATTAAAGCTCTCCACTGTATATCATTACGAAAGCGAATACCGATAAGATAACGCTGTTTAACTATAGTACATATATATGTATATTACTCGCAGATGTCAAGCAGTATCGCCCCCACAAAACAAACAATAAAAATAGCCTACACTTTTTGCAATGATTCCTCGAACTGCTTTGGGTAGAAGAAAATTCCCCTGGTTTGGGTTTTCTTCGATTATAAGTTAGCTTATTAAATATTACCACTGCACATGCCACACATCACGGGGTACAAACAGTGCGTATCATGCATGTATGCACAGCACCAGGGGAAACAAATGTTGAATGCCTTTCTCGATGGATTTCCATCCATAAAAAGCTAAGCCCAAAACCTTGCACAGACTTTTAGTTCTGACACGGACTGCCCATTAACTAACGATAAAATCGAAATGTGTTCCACATCGATCTATGGAAAGTGAAACCTTAAGCTTACTCCCTCCCTCCCCAGCCCCCCGCCGACCCAGCACATCTGCAGTTCTGTGAAGCACCCGCACCGCGTGTTATTAATTTTTCGCCTTTAATTTGCGGCTGTCATGGCATAGTCGTACAATGTATGTACATTTTCCCCACCAATGGGCTGGACTGGTCATCCATAATTTCGATAGCAAACACCCAGACACACAAGCCGTAAGCAGTGCACACACATCAGCAGCACATCAGAGGCAGACAATGGACATGTACATACAATAGAGATTGTATAATAATAATACTCCGTGTATGCGGTGTGGGGAGGGGTGGGGGGGAGTGTTGTGACTCATCAACAACGGTAAATCGTATACAGTTTCGATTGTTGAATGGACATGGAATGCATATTGCATATTGATTTGATTGGTGTTTCATTTGCTTTTGCTGGGTGGTGCGGGCTGCTGGCTGCGGGCTGCTGCTGCTGCTTCTCTTGTTTATTGAATGCACAATTTTGTTGGCGATATCGCCACCTCAAAAGCATTTCGGAGAACACGTGAAACAACCGTAGACAGGCGTACACGTACATACACGTTACACTTTTGTGGGAGACGACGACTACGACGACAGTTTGTTCAATTATTAAAAACGATCAACTGTGGGGAGGCTCTAGAGACAGCCTGTGATTACATGGAAGTGTGGTGCATAAAACACGACTCGAACAAAGTCTGTTTGCTGATATTTAATGCAAACAATCAGCCTGCTGGGGCACATCATTTAGAATGCAATTAGCACTGGCTTTCCCCCATGCATTGACAGCTTTATCTTGCGTAAATATTATGTGCAGAAGAATAAATCTTATCAACAAAAATGTCGAAAGTTCATATATAAAAAAAAAGAGTTCATATAATAAAAACAACAAAAAGTCCAGCTCCGAGTATTTCTGAGTATTTTGAATGAAAGATTCATCCGCTAATTAGAATTATTTATTGTATTTTTTATTTGCCAATTTAATGAGCAAATGTTTTAAGTATTAATTTCAAAATCGGAAAATTAAAAACAAAAATACCAGAAAATTAGAGAAAATAAAGAATATAAATCTTGCACAAGGCACGTGCATGATATTCATTTCTGGTTGCATGTATTATATATCGGATTGTTATGATTTCGGCTAGATAGGTAGATTTTCGCTTTGTGTATACCTTGATCAAATATCAGCTTTATATAAGGAAAATTGTGGGTTCTACAGCATTTGGGCGCAGTGTAAAAAAGCTTGAGAAGATTGCGTGATTTATCTGGGATTGATGCTAATTCATGCTTTGATTTTCTATAATTTATAGTCTCCCATCAGTAGACTGACAGTCTGTGTACCAGTTTGTAGTATCTGTATAATTTTTGTGATCGGTGGCACTTCCTCTCGATTGTCAGATACACTCAGATACACCCATAAATGATGATTCATGGGTGCCACAGCTAGAATGTTTATTCGTGCAGAATATTCTAGAACTTAGATCTAGCATGAAATATTGCATATCTTGACCATTAAAACAATATACCCCCACTAATACCACTTACTCCGTAATGACGATAATAAATACTTGAAACAAAGAATCGAAGAGTCGCCTGATAGGGGAGGACTTATCTGTGAGGGAAGGAACAGGCTGCGTAGCGGCAGCGGCCATTATGGGCAGATTGAGTGCAGTGCAGCAGGAAAAGCAAAAATGTGTAATCAGCGAGGCGAGACGCGAAGAGAGAGAGAGCGACAGAGACAGACACAAAAACAGTTGCAACAGCTGGCCCGGGTTCCGCAGCGAGAGAGGGGGCTGAGAGGGGCTGAAGTTGTCAATAAATCAAGCGACCAAATGCATTTTTAGCTGCTGGCGGGTGGGGTGGTGTGTGTGTGGGGGTGGTATCGGCGTTAGTGCACCTGAACTACACACACACACACACACACACTATCAACTTGAACTTCCATGACGCTGGCTGGCCGCGGTCGCTTCTTTATAGAAATAGAGTATCGACCGATTGGTACACGCACTAGCGCACCCACACACATACGCCGCCACTTACAATTACAGTTACAAATATTCGTGGTCATGTAACGCACGCCAAAAAAAAAGCTGCTCCCTCGCACACACACACACATGTGCAGGGGTGTGGGTTGGTGTGTGTCACTTTTTGTTTGTAATTGAGGCAAAGGTCGCGGCAGTGTATGTACCGCCCGATGCGGCCCTAGCCAGAAACACCTCTTAGAATGTTAGCCACAGGGAAATTCCAATGCACAAAGGTGTTTGTTTTGCATGCCCGCAAACAATTTCCATTTTCATGTGTACTAACTGGGGGCACTGGCGTTTTTTTCTTCTTTCTTCTACCTGCGCCTTCTTTGCCGTCGTCTTACCTTCTTCTGGCGCTCTGCTGCTGCTCCTCGTTCGTTCGTGTGTGTGTGTGTGTGTTCGTGTGTATTGCTGGTTTGGTTGTTGGTGGGTTCTGGGCCTGGTTTTCTTGGCTGCTTCACAATTGCTCGCGTTGCGAATTTGTTGCACTTATATCCGCCAAGCAGAGGGTTTTCCACTGCGTACTTGCTGGTAATTGATATTTTAAAACTAATAGTTTATTTGAAATAACATTGTATTGTTTTTTTGGCTTTGCAGGCAAGCAACAGTGTGACCGTGACGATAACAATAAAAAATACCATCCGGCCAAAAAACAAATACCATTAAATACCAATTCAGATTCGAGAAATACCACTTAAATACCTCACCATAAAAACGAGACTTAACCCACTTAGCACCCCTCTATTTAAATAATAATAATTTTATCCAATTCATCAATAATTTTTTTCAGGATTGGCTAGTTTTCAGAACTCTTTTTCATTGGATTGTTTGCATAATAAGGTTAAACATAATAAACAAAAACGGCCAAGGCATAAAACGTAAGTGTGTACGAAATGTGTTGTTGCTTGTCAAGCAACTTTTTAAATTAATTAATTAATTATTAATAAAGCTTCCATTATTTTTCCCGTTAGATACATGCGGCTCACACCACGAAAAAGAGGGGAAAATCATCACGAAAAAGAGAACAAATTTTGAAAAACCAAGTCGAAAAATACCAGTCTAACGTTAGAGATGGGTAACTGAGGAAGTGGGATAGATATTAACTGATATATCGATACATGTTTTTGTTCGATATTGATATGAAAAACAGCTTCTAGGGAAGTGGATGGAAGATTAGAAGCACTATTTCACGGATTGAGGAGCGGAATCAGAATCATAACAGACTAGACCGTTGGATAATTTCCACAGTCGATGGATATATGTCGATGACATTATCGGTGGGAAGTCGGTAGGTGTGAAATATAGCCACACTTAGAGATGGAACTAGTTCAAAAGAGTTGCCACAAAGTTGGAAATTGAAGCGCTGAATTTGAATATTTAAATAATTGCTGGACAAATTTAAACATGAAAGAAATTTTGCTTTTTGCTTTGTTTTATGATAATAAAAGTTGAAAATATTTTTGTAAGCCCCTTATTTTTAAGAGGCTCTATATTTCCCTTCTGTAATTCATTTGGTGTTGAATAATAGTTCAATTTACAACTTTTTGTGGCTTGAAAAATTTCCATGGGAATTCGAATATGTTTATGACACAGATGTTACTTAATAGTCTGCATTTGATACGTTTCAGGTTTTTATTACATGTTATATAGTTTAAATAAATACGTTACTGCAGACCAACAACGCACTAAAAGTGAAATTTCTTGAATTTACTCAAAATTTCGAATGGAAATATTTCAGTTATTTGTTTGAACAATTAATAGCAACTACCCGAAATGCGAGAGACAAGTAACATTCGACGCCACACAGAGTGAGAGAGAGAGAGAAACGGAAATGCTCCAACTTAAAGTCTGCTCGCATTTTGTTGCTGTTTGCTTTGGCTGCTGCTCTTTTTCACACTTTTTCCACCGAGAACGACGCGACGACTCCGCCGTCTTGGGGGCCGCGACAAAGTGAAAATGATCAAAATTTAATGTCAAACCCCCAGCGGATGGGAGTCATTCGTGTCGAGAGCTCTGAACGCAGCGGAAGTCGCGTGGGATTACGGGTGAACCCAAAGGATTACGGGGATTAATCGCACAGGATACGTAGAGGGAAAACTCAAGATGAGAGGCCTGGTGATCTACGCGTGGTTGCTAACGGGTTTATTTTACTTTTCCGAAGGTAAAACTCAACAGAAAAGTGCAGTGGAAAAGTTCTATAAGAAATAAAAGTGAATTTAATTATATATCCTCAATATCCTCATTTATTTTCCATTTTCTGGCCACTTTTCAATAGGCAAGCCCTGCCCTGAAAAGACACGCCCCCACAAGACACGCTGCGACGCCTACTACAAGTGTCGGGCATTGGCCAGCAACTCGCATGTGTGGGTGCCGGTGAAGTGCCACGAGGGTCTGGTGTACGAGACGAGTCTGGGCGGCTGTGTGCTGCCCGGCGATGACTGGGAGTGCATCACACCCAGTGAGCTGAACAGCTCGACGCCTGCCAGCAGTCACAGTCAGCAGCAGGATGCGGATATACTAATTGTAAACGACATGGATGAGGCGGGTCTGCTGCTGCGGGAGCCATCGCCTCATCACGGCCAGCACCATGATGATGGCACTGTGGAAATAGTCCTGGACTCAACGCTCAGCAGTGAGGAGCATGAGGAGCAGGAGCAGCAGGAGGAGGAGGGCCACGACCAGCAGAGTTCCATACAAAGTGACGAGGGGGAGAGCTCATCGCTGCACCACTTCGACTCCAGCGGCGATGGCGAGCTCATGGAAGTGGACAGCCCACCACCACCGCCGCCCGAGATTGAAAATCGCGAGGACGAATTGGAATTAAAGCACGAGCATCGCACGCCGGATAACCAGGATATGGAGCAGCTGGGGGATGTGCAGCACCGACCGGCTGTGGAGCAGCTGGAGGCGGAGATAAAGCAGGCGGCGGGTGTGAGTGAACTGGCCAAGCCGGGCTCCCACATCCATCCCCAGCTGACGGCCCATCTGCAGCGGCTCTCCCAACTGATCGATGGCCTGCAGCAGAAGTACCAGAAGACGGACAAGCCGCAGGCGGATATGCGACCGGATCAGCTGAATGCCTTTCTGGCGCACTTTGACATCAAGAACCGATACGAGATGATGAACCCCATGGAGGCCACCACCGCCACAGCCACCAGCACAACGACCCCAGAGCCATCCACATACAGCAGCAGCAGCAGCACCACGAAGCTGCCACCCCAAGCGAATACGAACAAGACGCGCCTGCAGGAGCATCTGTCCAAGCATCGCCTGGAGCCGGAGACAAAGCTTATACTCAGCAATGCGCTGCCCTTCTCGGGGGGCACGGGTCAGGGGTATGCCAACTCGCAGATTGTGGTCAATCGTCCGGAGGGTTCGGTGATGTTTGCCCTGCCGCCGCCCCAGTATGGCATGAGCCAGGAGCAGATGGGCCCCGCCTATAGCCCACAGCAGGGTCACTCGCCGGGTCACTCCCAGAGTCACGAATATGGCGATCATGAGCCGAAAATATCCGAGGATACGCTCAAGACAGTGCTGGAGCTATCCAAGCAAATGATTGCCGCTCAGAATGTGCCCAAGGTGCTGCCGAATCCGGGATTCAATGGCTACTATGCTCAGCCCATACTGCAGCCGGTGTACCTGTCGGCACACGGCAATCCCTTCCAGCAGTACTATGCCCCGCAGCCGATGATGCCCAGCCACTATATGCACCACAAGAAGCACTCGTCGGGCGGCAGTTCCAGCGGAAATGGCGGCTACAACAAGCCCAGCACCACCATCATACACAACAATGTGATTCCCGTGCATCTGTCCAGCACCAGCTCCGGCGAGAAGGAAGTTCTGGACACGTACGGCCACAGCTTGGGTGTGTACCCCAGTTTGGATCAGTCCAAGCATCAATCCAATGACTACATGACCACAGCCAGGCCCACGCCCACTCTGTCCAGCCAATATCCCTCGCCCTTTGCCGCGGAGTACACGCTGACGACGCCGCGACCCTTCCAGGAGCAGCCCTCGGCCGCCACAGTGTCCACCTACTACACGCCCAGTCCACATCTCAGCGAACAGAATGTGCATCGCATCTTCCAGGCCACCGAATCGTATCCCACAGTGAATATGCCGCGACCCATGGACATGTCCATGTTCCCGAGCGGCCATTTGGAGCCGGGACAGGTGGGCATACGACCCAATTCGCAGAAAATCGAAAGCATGGAGATGGATGGGCCCATGGCTGACGAGATGATTAAGGCCAGCAGTTATGGGAATGTGAATGGGAATGGGAATGGGAACAGCTCCCCGCACGTACTGACCTACAGCAGCGATGGAGGAGGCAGCTCTGGAGGCGGCGGCGGCGGCGGCAGCGGCGGCTACGGTGGCATGAGCCATCAATTAGCACCTACGGGCGCATATCTAGATCAGAGCTACAATCAGCAGCAACAGCAGCAACAGCAGCAGCAGCATCATCATCATCCGTACATGCCCCGACCGACAATGAGCAGCAGCATGTACAGCGATGCCGATGGCAATATGGAGCTCAGTATGTTCAGCAATCTGAGTCCGTATACGCCCGAAAAGATCAAATATGGTGCTGGATCCTCCGGATCCCCCTCGCCCAACGGGCAGCTGGTCAACTTCAATGGGAACTTCATTAGCTTGGATGTCTTTCAAAAGTCCATACTGCCACTGATGACCAAAAACCCAGCGGCAATGTCGGATCTGAGCAATGTGGAGGTAATCACCTGCCAGACGGGTGTGCGGCAGCCCAATCAAACGGATTGCACGCGCTACTTTGTGTGCAGCAAGAAGGATGGCAAAGTGCTGTCCTACTCGTGTCCACCCTACACGGGCTTCAACAAGCAAACGCGCATCTGCGATGCCCAGACCTATGCCCAGTGTGGCAGTGTGATGCCTGCTTTCAATGGCTATACCATAGACAACAACAGACGCCTGCAGATGGAGGCCATCAAGATGTTGAGCGAAGCTAAGAGGCGACAGGAGGCGGCACTCAAGGCCCAGAACATTGCCAGTCTGCTGCAGCAATACGGAAACACCCAGCAGGGTGGACTTTCAGCGGGGATCTCCGCCAACATTGAACAGGACTCCATGGACAGTGCTTACATGGTAAACCTGCCCGATATGAGTCCTGCCACAACCACAGCCAGACCCATTATCATTCAGGCCAGCAGCAGCAATTCCATTGGATCCTCGGTGGCTGGCTCGGTGTCTGCCAAAAAGCGAAAGTACTACTGCAAGGAGGGCGACAAGATACCCGATCAGACATCGATCAGCAGCTACTTTGTGTGCTACAAGAACGCCCAGGGCCAGATGAAGGGCCACAAGATGACCTGCTCCACGAGCCTGCTCTTCTGCCCCAGGACGCTCATGTGCACGCTGGCCTCCAAGTGCCAGGACTAGACCCCACTCGGAATTTGGACAATGAGAATTTTTCCACATTTGCCACCTAAGTTATTATTTGCCTAGTTGTCTAAGTAATTTATTCTAATTTAAGTCAGACGCCCATTAAACTTCTAAAAACCCAAAAAACAAAAAAAATACTGCAGATTTTTGTTCTTTTACTTCTTTGTCGTGTGGATCGTCGTTTTTCTTTTCTTTTGTTGAGGTCGCGTGAAAGTTTCTTGGCTTGGGCCTGTTCTAGACGGGAGAAGACCTTGCCCTTCCAGTTTTTTTTTGGGTAGATGTGTAGCTGGAAAAAAACTGACCTTCTTAAATGAATCCAAAATGTGATATATGCCAGGCGGTCACTAACATACAGGAGCGGATTGGGGTAGGCCAGGGGACCAGGAAAGGCTTAATGAGTAATTAAAAAATTTATAGGAACAAGAGCAGATAAATTCTCTAATTTATATTTTAATAACAAATTAATTGGCAAAGAAAATTATGATTTTATGATTTCTTAGTCGTGGGCTTTCTTTCATAGATTTTAAATGTTTTGGACATGTCACCGGGAGAATTAATCTTCTAATAAAATCTCATTCATTGTTAGACTCATAAATTCCAATAAAATTTCTGTGGGTAATGCAAGAATCTGCAGAAATGTTTTCAATAGAAATGCCATAGGTTAGTTATCTTTAAATCAAGTTCTGTAAAATTATCATATTAATACATATTCCTGTTGAATGTTGTTGAATATTAATACACGCGAATAAATTATATAAACTGACATAAACCCAAACCACTTATGAGTAATAAAATAACAAATAATATTTTGTTCCCACAATATCTCCACCAAAAACAAGTGCCCCCACTTCAAGGTAATTCCGCACCTGTACTTTGGCAAGATTTTCACTTTTTTAATGTCGCCATGAAGTCTCTTACTTGCTAGTGTTTTCTTTGGTTTTTTTTTGCTCAAAGTTAATATTACATGCAGCAGTTGACATTTATGCTCCAGCACTCAAGATCTAGTTCAATTACAAACCCATTCCATTAATGTGCGCATAAAAGCAGAGTGCAAGTACATATACCGAAAATATGAATGTACATAAAGCTGTGAACAGGTTTGGACAAACTTATGGCTCACACACTCGTAGTAGAATATGGCTTGGGTTAAGATGGAGTGATTGGGATGGGGATGAATGAAAGTTCATTAAAAGTTAAGCAGGTGACTGAATGAATATTATATTCCATATTCATTTATCCATCCATAATATAAGCTATCGGCCACATTCCCTTTGCTACACAGAAAATTCTTCTCATATTCCCCATATCATAATATCTAAAAACAGAACTTGAATTTCAGCAGATGGAAACAGATGGAAAAGTGCCTTTTTCTTCAACTCAATACCGAAAAACAAATAGTTTCAACATATATTAATAAATTAATATTCTTCTGAATATTTTTTATTAATTACTAAATCTGATAATTTATTGCCAATAATTTTTTAAATAATTTTTTTATTTTTATTTTTAAATTACTAAATTAATTAGTTCCCCTAAGTTAATAAATTTCCGTAACAAATAAAAATAATGTAAACAAAATTGTGTTAAACTTAGTTTAAACTTTTATTTTGGTTGTGGAGCAATGAAGCGTAATCACGTGATCAAGTTACAGCAGAGATCGAACCATCATCTGGACGGTCTTGTAGCTATAGTAGGATCCCCGCCATCGATCCCAAGAGATGCCCTTGCCATACAGATCCAGAGCCTTAGTAACGTCGCAGAGCACCTCAAATACCTGTCCACAGACCTTTATCTCTTGGATGTTGCTCGTTTGGGGATTGGCAGCCTTGCAGGACGATGGGAAATCTATGTTAATCGGACCGACTATGGCACATTGAGCGTTGGCCAGCGCCACAAGGCAGGGCACAGGGAGCACGAAGCAGGCAACTTTCATTATTGGTTTGCTTAGAAAATACACGAGCCAACGGCAAAAATGCGCCTGATTTTGTGGGAAGAGTAATTATTCGGTTCTGGATAGATAAAAGCACTGAAATTTTAATATATTCACTTTAATTTACAGATTTTTCACTTACATTTTTAGAATTAATATGAAAATATTTATTTTCAATATATTTAAATATATTTCCACGCTTCTTCTCATCCAGTATGCTGATTCGGCAATGTTCCTAATTCCCAAAGATTAAATCTGCTTGCAGTTTCTGAGAACATGTCAAACTGCCCAAGACTTTCGCTTAACCTTCCTCTGGGTTGGCTGGCCTTTAAGCTCTTTATTCGTATTCTTAGATTTTACTGGCGGCTCTTCCATCAACGAAATGCCTCCATTGCAGAGAGATCTTGATCTCCGGTTGGCGCGTGGCGCGTGGCGCGTCTGCGTGTGCCCGTCGTCTAGAAAGTGACAGTTTTTCGATGAACTGAACACTTCTGGCTTGAGATCCACTTTCTCCCTTGGTCGCACTCAGGCGTCAGGCGTCAGGCGCCAAAGGCCTCAGGCCCTTTCGTGCTGTCTGCTCGTAGTAGATTCATACTCTAATTAGTTGCTAATAATTGTTTAAATGCATACGCACACACACAGATACTCCATATGTGAGTGAGTGTGTGTGTGTGTGGCGCACGCGTTTGCTAGAAATTGTTGATTTACCTTAGCCATTTGTAATTTGTCACTCACGTTCCCTCAACTCTCACTGGGGGCCTCCGCCCCAAGACATCGCATGGCTGAAGACCTCAAAATACAATAAAGTACAGTTCACAGATGCGATATCTTTTAGTTGGTTACTGGTGGTTTGCTATGGTTAAGTCAGGCCTGGCTTGCGTAACCCCCCCTAGCGCGGGTTCATTGACAGCGCTCGGCCCAAAGCGAACCCCCATCGTGTGACCTCTGGGACCTTGGGCCAACAAGCGAGTACGCTCGAAGAAAGTTGTGCGACACTGAGGCTACCGGTTTTCTGCTGCAAATAAGTGTCAGTGGGTACTAGAGCATATTAAATGTTTTGGCTTAGCGTTCAGTTGGGGCATGGAATTGTATGGCTAGTCAGTGGATTTTTATGCATTTATTTTGTAGTCACCAATGCTTACTTTACTTGAGTAAAGTTACATATATCTTTGGGATAAATTAATGGAAATTATAGGCAATGTAATTCCTTTGTAAGAATTTCTGTGATGAATATTCCACAAGATAATTCCTTAGGCACTCCTCCCGCATTTAGGACATTCCATAAAGCCTATTCGGCTTTCATAATTTTTATGAGATTTTCCCCTTGAGATAACTCACATGACTCACTCCTTTCCCACAATAAATAATGCTAAATACTATGGTCCATATTCACTACAATATTCACTTATTACTGGTCCTAAGCTTAACCATTCCATCTTCAGTTAGATAGAATCCCAAGCTAAAATGCTATACAAGTTCTATCTCTTTTGTTAGATAAGATCATGTACTTAATACATACATGGCTTCATCTAAATCTAAAAATATAAAATATGAAATATATTATAAATATATTTATATATTTATATTTATATATATTTTTTATATTTATATATATTTATATATTTATATATAAATATAAAACTGTTTACTTTCTTTATTTAGCCGTGTTCAATTTTTAAGATCTTTTTTTTATGAGTGTTAAAAGAGAAGCACAAAAATCCTGCAACAATCCACCTAAATGGAACCGCATAAATACAGCTCCGACATAAATATCCGAAAATCCCCATAAAATTCAAATAAATTATCCAACAAATATTTTCCGTTCTAAACTGTAGATTTTTATTTACCTTGAACCTTGAACCGTTTTTAAACCGCTTTTTTCTCCATTCTTCGTGATATATACTCGTATCGTAAGCTTTTCGTTTTCGTTTTGTTTTTTTTTTTTCTTTTTAGAGTTCCTTCAACAACTACAATTCCATTACAATTTCTATATATATTTGTTTTTAAGTATATGATTTGTTTGATTTTTGCTTTGCTTTTTCAACAACATTTAAAAACTACAATTAAACATTTTTGCTTCCGTATTGCTTATAGAAGGGGAAGGGTATAGCAGGGGGCAGGGGCACAGAGGGAGGGGCGGATTTCCATTTGAAGTTTTTTTTGTGCCAGAATTTGGCAACATTTATATTTTGTTTTGTTTTTTATTCAATATTTACTTTTTTTGTGTCGTATTTTTGCTGTTGTATATTTTGTTAGAGGAAATGCATATTAACATTGCTTTTTAGTGTATGTTTTTTGCGTTTGACTATGGATATTGATTCGTATTTAAATTTTACAAATATTCTGTGTGTTTTTTGTTTGTTTGTTTGTTTATTTTTACGTACAATATGCTACAAAGTTTTAGTGTTTCCGTTTTAGCTTTGGTTTTCAGTTGTTGAGTTTTACACACAGCGCCAGCTAACAATTAAAAACTAAATTAGTTTTTGGTTTTAGTTGGTACACCCGAGAGAGGGGGGTTGGCTTAAAAGTTGTTTGGTTTCCCTTTACGCTTAGGTTGCATTACTTTATAATACAATTATCACATTCTTTTTGATGATGATATATATTCAGTTTTAATTTGCATTTGTTTTGACTCGACTCGACTCAAAAACTACTTCAATACATCTTCGGGCTAATCCGTAACTAATCCGTAACTAATTATTGCTCACCCACGCACATAAAATATCGCATATCGAATATCGAGTTTTCAACGGGGGGCCGGGGGCGGGGAAAAGCAAATCAAAATTTCGTTCAATTCTAATCCCTAGGCAGACTTACAGACTAGTTATAGTTTAACTCTTAGCATCTACCATGACATACATATAAAGCGCTCAAAGAGAGGGAGAGAGAGGAACACAGTCGCAGCAGACACAGCAAATGAACTTAAAACTAAAACTTTAAAATGCGTGAAATTACATTTCCATCCTTCCATTTTCCATTTTGCTTCGATTTTCCTTCCTTTCTGCCATTTTTAGACCATGCCAAAGCCCTCGCTGCCCTCGCTGATGGCCAACAGCAGCGACTTCTCGAACTGCTCGTAGCTCTCGTAGTCCGGCAGGCACAGCTGATTGAAGCTGCAACACACCAAGAAAAAAATGTAATGGAAAAAGTTTCAAATTAATCAACAACAAAAAACAAAAACAAAAAAAAGCTACAACTTTTCAGCCCAATCACCCACCAAGTGTGCGCCGTGGGCAGATTGCCAAATGTGGGTGCAGCCGTGATCTGAAACTGTGGATTCAGCTCCTGGAATCCGCCGGGCGGCAGCTGTGAACAGCCCGTGGTGAACTGCAGCAGGCGGGCCATCTCCGTCTGGCTGAAGTTGCTCACTCCGGCCCAGAACCAGGCCAGCACACGCCGGAACTCCGACGAATTGCCATTGGCAATGTGATGGGACTTGAAGTCGCTGATGGAGTACTCCCCAGTGCCGCACATGAGCAGCTGCAAACGGTGGAAAAATTATTTATAAATTTAATTAGGCTACAAGTAAGTTTAAGTTAAAAGATTTTCGATTTTAAGACGAGCAATAATTTAGTTTATAAGTCGAAAATAATTATTTGTTGAGGGCAGAATGTTGAGAAGAATTCTATTTCTTTTTTTTGCTATTTTTTACTGCAGAACAAATACAATTATGAGCAAGTAACTCTTACTTACTTATTATATTATATTATTGTTATCTTTATCTATGGAAATGGGAAATGGAAATGGGAAGAAACAAACGACTTTGGAGCAATTAGTCTAGAGACCAAAATCTATGACTGAAGCTGTGGTGTGAGTCCCTAACACCGATAGAAAAAAGCCCTGAAATTTTAATATTTTCACTTAGATTTTAATATTTATGCCATTGATTTTCATCCAAGAGTGGTTGTATTAAAATTGATTATTTTTCACTTAAATTTTGATATTAATATAGAAATATTTAAATTTAATATATTTCATATTTAAATTTAATATGTTTCATATTTAATGTTAATATGCTTCATATTTAAATTGAATATGTTTAATATTTAAATCTAATATGTTTCATATTTATATTTATATTCATTTTTAGCTAATTGGTTATTATTTTGCGTGCGCAAATTACATTTCAAGTCCTCATGGTGTGAATTGGTTAAAGTTTTCAACTAGAAATAATCGCAACATGAGTAGGACTGCATTGGTTGTGATTATGCCCCTGCGCTAAGATAATTTTACTGTGCATTCAAGGCAGCAGCAGCTGGAACTAGTTGGGAATTCGAGGGACATAAAAAAATAGTATAAACATAGTTAAAATAAATACAAAAAATATTTGATTTCATTTAATATGGAATATTTAAAATAAAAAGTTTTTCCTTTGGATTTTAAAAGGAAAATTTTAAAATTAAGTCATAATAATATTCAATTTAAATATGAAACATATTAAACTACAAATTTAATATATTATAGTTATTTTGAAGTGTTTTGTATTTAGATTAAATATGACCGTATTAAAAAAGAATTTTTAATACATTTATACTTGAATCAAAGTGAATTCTATTAAATTTTACTATGTTTGTATTTAAAAATGGCATTTTAAATTCAAATATGATTGTAGTTATTAAAAAAAAAAAAAAAAGGGGGGAGGGAAAAGAGAAAAAGGAGAGAAAAAAAGAAGGAGAAAAAAAAAAAAAAAAAAAAAAAAAAAAAAAAAAAAAAAAAAGAAAAAAGGAGGGGGGGGGGGGGGGGGGGGGTGGGGGGGGGGGGGGGGGGGGAGAAAAAAAAAGAGAGAGGGAAAGAGGGGGAGAAAGAAAAGGGGAAAAAAAAAAAGAAAAGAAAAAAAGAAAAAAGAAAAACAAAACCCCGCCCCCCCCCCCCCAAAAAAAAAAAAAAGAGGAAAAAAAAAAAAAAAAAAAAAAAAAAAAAAAAAAAAAAAAAAAAAAAAAAAGAAAAAAAAGCCGCAAAAAAAAAAAGAAAGAAAAAAAAAAAAAAAAAAAAAAAAAAAAAAAAAAAAAAAAAAAAAATTTTTCCCCGGCCCCCCCCCCCCCCCCCAAAAAAAACCCCCCGCCCCCCTTTTCCCTCCCCCCCGGCCGCGGGGGGGGGGGGGGGGGGGGGGGGGGAGAAAGGAAAAAAAAAAGAAAAAAAAAAAAAAAAAAAAAAAAAAAAAAAAAAAAGAAAAAAAAAAAAAAAAAAAAAAAAAAAAAAAAAAAAAAAAAAAAAAAAAATATTTTTTTTTTTTAAAAAAAAAAAAAAAAAAAAGGAGTATACCGGCCGGGGGGGGGGAGAAAGGGAGGTGTGGCCCCTGAAAAACCCCCACCTTTTCCTCTCTTTTACTATGCCTTTTTTCTATCAGTGAAATTATATGTTTAAACATAAAATAACATCTTGACGCATAATAAAAGGTGGTTAAAGCTTTTAGAAACCCTCTACCCCATCCACTTTAAGTACGCCGCATAAATATACACAAATAAAATATAAATAATAATTATTATAATCACCTCTAGTTCATTCTCATCGAAAATGCTCAAAAGATTATCGGGAATTATAGAGTTGAGGCCCTTCAGAAAGCTGTCCACCTCGTCCTTGACACTGTTGCACAATCGCTGCTGTGCCAGGGAATCCAAGTACTGGTTCTTGCTGGCATTGGTGACCCGCGTTTTGGCGCCATTCGGAATGAGCTCAATGGTCTTGCTCAGCTGTCCATTGCTGGCATCGTACAGCTCCTCCACGAAATACAGCTCCAACGTGTCTGTGGCATCGAGATCAGTGTCCAAAATGTACTTGATTTTCGACAGATACAAGTCCGGATCGTCCTGCTCAAAGTACTAAAAGAAAGGGGGAGATTATAAGTAAATATCATCATTGGGGGGGTGGATGGGATTGTAATGCACCCACCTTGTAGTGCACCCTCAGACCTATGAGCTGGGCCAGAAACGAACGGCTGAAGCGGGCGCGGACCAACTGGCGATAGCTGCCGCCCAGGGCGCTCTCGAAGAGGCACTTGCCCACCATCTTGCCGGCAAACTCAAAGTGCTTCAGCTTCAGGTGTGCGGCGCGTGTGGGATTCGGATGGACGAGCGCCTGATGCTTGTCATGGAATGTGCAGAAGAGGCCGCCGCGAGCGTCGAAGAGCGAACTGCAGACGAGCTCAAACCACTCGCGACGCAGCCCGCCCCAATCGATGCCCTGCTCGCCCTGGAATGTCACCTCAAAGTTGCCACACCAATCGGACACGGAGAAGCCCTTGGTGGCCTTCATGCTGCTCTCGAGTATCTTTTCGCGCTGCACCTTGAGCGCCATCTTCTCGTGGTAGTAGCTGGCATGGAACTTGCGCACCTCGTGATAGAAGAAGTCCTGCTTGTCCTTGAACGTCTCCGAGCCGCCAATGTTCTTCAGCAGAAAGTGCGTGAATGTGGCCGCTATGATATTGCGATCCTTCGAGGCCAATTCAATCCTTGGCTGTGCCCCATCGTCAATGATGAAGACGGGCCCGTGCAGCTGCGAGACCAGCTGCGGCAGAAAGTGAAACTTGGTGGAGGGACACAGCCGAAAGGTGGCAATCCGCTTGGGTATAAACTTCAGTATCATCTCCTTGATGGTCACCTGAAAGATCAGCGAGTTCTGAGCCTTAACATTTCACTAGTTCCCCACCAGCAGAACGCCCGGGGCCGTGGCCACTCACCTGCTTGGGTCCCACATAGCAGAGCACCTTGCGCGGCTTGCTCTTCGAGGAGCCGAACACACTCAGCAGCTTGGCCTCATAGCAAATGTTGTGCTTGCGCGAGGCAATGTTCTTGTGCACCAGCGTGGTGTCGCTGCCTACAGGGGGACTCAATAGTTTACAGCTTATCCTTTGCATTCAGTTTTCTACTACTTACTGCTCAGCACAATGATGTCGAAGTCTCCGTTTGGCAGCTGTTGATCCTTGTAGCTGATCACAGCCCTGAGGCATGTGGGCTCGGGAAAGAGCGCTGTGACCGAGACCCGGGAGTTGACTCTGTCATAGTTGAAGGCAATGGCATGGTGCAGCTTCTCCACGGCCACGCCATGCAGATCATAAACAGCCACCTGATAGCCCTAGAACAAAAAAAAGAAGAAGATATATTTAGAGTAAGAAATTAAATGCAGGCCCATAGCCTTGCTGCACTCACCTGCAGCGCGTCATCCGACTGGGACTGATCGAAGAGGCAGGCATTGCCGAACTCATCCCTGGGCTCGATGTGCATCAGGGTGGGTGATCCGGCACAGCAAATGACGGTGCTGGCGGGACGGATGAAGCGCGACCGGCGGGCATCGATGCAGCCCGGCAGGAAGTTGCGCAAGAAGGGCGACCCAGCTATGTGGCTGGCCCCAATGAGCACAGAGATCTTGTACTGGCCGGCGGTGCGGACGGTGAACTTGACCTTGGCGATATTGGCATTGTTGGGATCGGTGGAGGAGCCCAGCTCGCTGATGGTCACCACCTTGCGTGTGCCCTCGGTGACCTCCACGAAGAACTGGTCCGTATCACAGATGGGATAGGGCTGGCCGTTGCGCTGAAAGAAGCGCACCACAAAGCACATGGTGCCGCCGACACGGGCCGGATCCTTCCAGTCCCACTGCACCTTGCAGTTGGCGGGCAGCAGATACTTTCCCGTGACGTACTGCAGCAGCGAGTGGCGGGCCTCGGGGGCCAGCGAGGGCTGGGTCATGGCTGCGAGGGTAACCAGGCCGGCAACGGAAACGGACACCACCAGCATGCCACCCCATGTCCAGGCGTCCTGGTGCTGGCTCGACTTGACCACCGTCGACCAGAGCTGCGCCTTGAGTGCGTCCAGCTGCGACTTGGATGTGGGCAGATTCTGTCGCGCCGAGGACCACAGGTGCCAGTCCTTGCCCAAAATGCTGCTCGCCCGCGAATCCTCCAGCCAGTAGACGTCCTCCAGGGAGGCCACCTCAACGCCCAGCAGCCGCTGGTAATGATGCTGCATGCGATGGTCCCTCAGCCATTCGCGCAGTATCAGCTTCTGCTGCAGATGCAGAGCCGCTCGCTGCAGTCGCTGCTCGTCCAACGGCGGCAGTTCCGGCAAACGTTCCGGGTCCCCGCAGCTCGACAGCGAGGAGATCCCTGCAAGGACAGAGAGGTGAGGTCCCTGGTTAGGGCAGTAGGCAGTAGGCAAACTTTTGCTGGTAATTGAGTTTAATGGTTAAAGTTTTGCCCGAGTCGAAACTTCTGTTTCTGCCGCTGTCCTCATCAACGTTCCATCCATCAGCGGGGCACAAAGCCAACTTGATGGCGTCTAAAATTACAAGCCAACTAATTTGGCCAGGCGACTGCGTCAATGCCAGCCACGAGGCAGTGGGTTGCTTGGGGGTTCGCTTTGGATTACGGCTTCCGGTTTCCGGTACCTCCTCCCACACACACACACACACACACACACACACACGACAAAACTTTCAGCGGACACTGCCAATCAATTATATTTCAATTTTTTATGACTTAACCATTGCCAAATGTCGAGTCGGGTCGGCTTGGGGGGGGCGACAAGACAACGGGGGGCACGGCACCCGCAAGAAATAGCCAAAGTTATCCAAAAGAAAGAATCCAAGAACGACATTTAATGCGTCGTTGTGTCGCTTATCGCGCTCTGACATCAGCTAAATAAGTTGAGTATTTCCTTCGACACACTGCGAGAAAAGGCTCGGCGATATTTACTGCACTGTCCAAAATCGCAAAGGGAGCATCTATAATATTCTAATTTGATATGCAAATAGTTCTGTATTTTTGTTGCTGCAGAAAACACTCTCCTTAAGGAGAATATCTCCTTGGTATATCTCTAGCGCACCGAAATTCGAAAAATATTAATCCAAAAATATTATAAGAGTTTTTCCTTTAGTGTACAAATAGCCCCTGTACCCTCAGTCCCCTTAAAGGCTTAACCCACACGACTAGCAGCGAATCTCCTTCTCCCCCCTCCATTTCGCCTTTGACTGCAAACTTTCATTTGCCATTATTGTATTTCTGTAGCTATTTTATCATTGGCTCGTAGTCAAAGTCAAGTGGGTGACAAGGAGCGACTTCACAGAGAGGCAGAGGTAGAAGCAGGGGGAGAGAGAAAAGTGAGGAAATAGAGGAAGCAAAGAGCCAGAAAGAAACAGCAAGCAATCTAGTGAGGAATTTTGTGCAGACTTTCCGTGATGAAGTTGGTTCCATGAAAAACACTTGACGCCATAATACGTATACGAAGCAATTTCCAGGAGAAAACAAATTGAACGAAAGAAAGAAAGGAAAATATGAAATTATAGTTTATGTATTCATGGAAGGGATATTTAATAATGTCTGGGAAAAACGAAAGATAAGCTAGGAAAATGTAACAGCTACTGAAGCAAATTTTAAAGTTTCAATTTAGTCTTAAATATAACAAAAGAGAAAAGATGTACAAAATATGGGGCTAAATTAAATGGGAAATAAAAGTTTCTGAAAGGCAAAAGTGCAAAAGTTAAGCCACAGATTAATTCATCAAAGTAGCTTTAGAAATCCCAGAGACTGGAATTTAATGTACCAGTAATATTTCGTGGCAAAAATGGATCCAACAGGAAATATAAATTGTTCAAACATTACAGAAAAATCGTTAGGATAGATGGAAGTTAAATAAGATAATCTTAGCCAGTTAATATTCAAGCAAATCTTTTATTATAAGAACCCATAAATATCCCACGAAAATACACACAAAACCAATCAACTAATAAACCCCAGAAAAGTAACATAAATATCCCCAGAAAAAGGAAAAGCCTCAGGATTAATAACAAAACAAAAATAAGCCAGAAACTAAAGAACAAAATCTCAAGAAACAACTCTAGGGAAATAACTAGAGATTTAAACTAAGAGTGGAAGAAAACTCAATCATATTAGAGTGGAATCAATGCAAGTACAACTAAATTCCATGCCAAAATCCTAGCTATATCAACACCAGATTAGCACAATGAAAAATGCCACAGCCAGTGATACCCAATCCCAGATGTCAATCCCCGAGCTCCCATAGAAAATCCAGCTAAGCTAGAAAAACTCAACTGAGTCTGGGGTGCTGCTGCTGGGGGACCACAACAACCAACAAAAAAAAACAAGCCACAAAACAAGTAACGTGCCAACCAGCCAAAACCCCAAAACTAATTGTGGTCTCTGGCAGAGGGTGTTGGGTGAGGTGAGGGGGTGAAAGTGAAGTAACAAACAAAAAAAAAAAGAGAAAATACAAATAAGGGAATGTTCATGCGATGTGGAGGAGGTCGATGATGGTTTAGTTGGCGGAGCTGAAATGTACAGGTAGCGAGCGTTTGGTAACACGTTTGCGTGCACGACATTCGAAAACGAATTCATTTCGTTACCAATTTCTTACCCATTTCTAGCGCCACATAGCCGAACCCCACCCCGTCCTTTAGCCCCTGCAAAGCCCCGTATTACCTCCAACTAAAGCCCTGTTAGAGTCCCCCCCATTTGGCTCTGCCACAACCCAAGCCAACCCAATCCAACTCCAACGTGTGTTCATATTTCGCGCGAAACGAACAACTTCCGTTTGATTTGGATTTTGATGTTACCAAAGCGATAGCTTTATATGGGTATTTTTGGTTTCCCTTCCGTAGCCAGAAAAATGCCTGAAAATGTCCAAAGTGCCAACAATGAAAAGTCAATTTTTATGTGACCTTTGCACCTACAAATACATACATATGCCTGTGCCAGTGTCTATCTATGTATATAATCCCCTGTTATTTGTATAATTAAAGTATTTCCATTGCATATTTAATGGCGCCACTGCACCCGAACGACCTTTGGGCCGATGTCTGAACAGGAATTGCTAATCGTTTTTAATTAAGGGTTAAAGAGAGCAAACTGAAAAAAAGATGGCTGGAAAAACAAGCAGGGGAAAAGTCACAAAAGTGGCAGTCAACAAAGCAGCAGGGAAAGCAGCGTGGGGGGGCAATGGAAAAGCCAAAGGGAAGGGCAGGAGAACAGGCAGTGGGAAAGCCAGTGGAAAAGAAAGAGAGAGAGAGAGAGAGAGACAGTGAGAGCCGCTTAATGAAAATGCCTTTTGAAGGTTAAAGCGCGACGTGCAAGGATGATGAGGATGGGCCTGGGAATGGCTGTAGGGAATGGGCCTGAGGATGATGATCATCATCATCATCATCATCATGATAAATGTCAAGTGAGCGCTTCTGTGTGGGCTGATTGGTGGATTGGTGGATTGGAGGATTGGTGGATTGACGGCGCGCGGGTGATTGTTGGCTTGTGGGCGCAGAGGTAATGAATGATGAGGCCGACTTTTGACAGCTGATGCAGAAAAAGTGTGGGCGAGCAGCAGGTAAATACGACTACGATTATGGTTGACTGAGTCCGTCAGAGCCAGAGGCCGCCGCGTCTGAACTCAAAGCCCATAAAGAAGTCAAAAAGGGAGAACCACAAAAAAAAGATAGTTGAAGGAATGTTTAAAAATAAAGGTAAAAATAATTTGGACTGCATTACACGAGTATTAAATTATTGTGCTGTAAGCTATATAAATCTATAGAACGGGAAAAGTCATTAAAAAAGATTGGCATGCGAATTTGGGAGAAAAAAAACTACGCCCCGAGACTTTGGCAGCAATAATAGCCATATGAGAGTAGACTTGGACAATTTTGCTGCGTAGAGAGGGATAGCATGAGAGACAGAATGCAACAATCACGTCTAATGGCTTTCGGGCGAACAACTAAGGCACTACTTGATACAAATAATGATGTTTTCCAGCTAAACATAGCCACCAAGCCAGCGAAATTGTATCCGCAGAGTAAAATATTCGATCAATTCTGCCGCAACGCTGCTCCCAGCTCAACTGGACAGCCAGCTTGACGCATACAGTTCTCTCGCTCTGACTGCAGGCATTTCCCATAAGGCCATCTTTATTTTTTTGCAGCTAGTCACTTAGCAAAGTCTAATATTATGTGGCTATAAAGGGTGCCGCAAGCGGAATGTGTTTTGTTTTTGTATTCACTGTCCCAGTCTCACCCAGCGTAAAAATACTTAAAAAAACACCTGAACTAGTGCTTAAAATTAAATTAAAGAGAGAAAATCTCGAAAGTTCAAAGACCAGCAACCGCAAAGAGTCACAAGAACTCATATCACTAGAATTATTCAAGAATAATTACTATCCAGCACTACCAAATGAAAACACCAGAGAATCATGGGCTTATAAGTGCCACACCCATTCTCTACGACTTACCCGCAGCACTGCCAAAGCACAACTTAAGTGCAACATTCGGGAAGATTTTCCTCTGCATGCATCTGGGCGTCCAAGCCACTTGGATGTTGCTGAATATCAAAGCCACTTCGCAGTTGTTCAGAGTCTGCTGGAAACCCCTATAGGAGGCGCTGGTACGAATCTGAATCAACTTGCGACTGAAAGCCACGTCTGGGCAATCCTCGACTGTGCTCTGCAGCTGTCCCATGGTTTTCGCATGAATTTCCTTTCTTATAACAATTTTTTGATGCTGATATTGTTAATTTTGACAAACAAATCGAAGGGCTACTTGCTACAGATTCGAAACGGAGCCTACTCACACACACACACACACACACAGACACATTTGCCCTGGTTGTGGGGGTGGGGTCGAGTTTACTCTTTGTTCGCTCATTAGCCCGAGTGGCAGAGCAGCCGAGCAGCCAAAGCCTGGCCCAAAGTGCTGGGCAAATGTTTGCAGAGCGAGCACAAAAGTTGGCCTATTAGCCCTGGGGCTGCCTTAGGCCTGAAATACGAGAGTACTGTGTCCCAACTCTGCCCAGGAGACTCGTACAGTGGGGTATATCAAGCAGAAAGCCCTCTGAATAAAGCCAATTCTGTATCATGTTACCACAAGCAGATATCAGCGTATTTTGTTAACGAGCAAACACAAATTAATAATAATAAATACCATAATAACGAGAAGGAACGTGCGAGTCGCTGGGGCGCGACCCTATACCCGACCGCAGCATACATTTGTGAGCAGATTTTAGTTAGATTAAAAAAATTGTTTGTACCGTTATCTACACTCATTATGTATACACACTTACATGTAGATTATACATGTACCATTCGTTCTTTTTACTTCTTGGGATTTTCTTTA